AAAGAACCAGGAATCTGCTTGAGGGTTTGCCACAAAACAAAAAATGCTCAAAACAACAGTGAGCCTTTACAAAATATTGCTGGAATTTATGGATGTTTTCTTTATAGTTTCAAAGGCAAAGGAATAGGACAAAAAAACCCTCTTTATTTAAAAAAAGTGATTTTGATTATCCAGGGTGATTATTTTGTTTAAAATACATAGAATGACTTCTAAAGTGTATGAGAACATGGGCAAACAGATACCTCTTTCAAAATATATATTTTTTAAACTACAGAAGGTTTCTCCTGGAACTGCAACCTATTGGGTGCAAAGGGTTCTCAGAACTGAGAGACGGAGCGGATGAAGTGGAAACCCTCCTAAAAGGGATAGGATTCCCCCCTACTCTCCTCCAGTGATAAACTGCTTGGTACTACTGTGAAAATGCCCATTATTTTTTTTTTGGGGGGGGGAACCACATTTATTTTATTGCTAAACCTTATCAAGATGTAAGCAGGAAGGTGGGATCCACAAATGCCTTACCACTTTGTAAGACCACCATGGCAGATTTCTGTTTTTCAAAAAATAGTTTAAAAAAATACATTTGGAATGAAAGCTAAGGAGAGAGGGGGGAAAAGAAAACTAAGGCGGGAGGATGGGAGAGTGGGGAAGAAAGGGAATAGTGTATTAAGGAAGCAGACTGGAACCATGTCCTATGTGTGAGTCGCAATCCGAGAGCTAAACAATATTCTATTTTTCATGCATATAGATTAGCAGTAAGTGTCACAGACATTAGAATTTATTTGGGGGGACTATATTTTCCTTTTCTGCACATTGAACTTCAAGTGATCTGTCTAGGAAAAGAGAAGAGAAAGATGAAAAAATATTTTTGGTTTTTAAAAAGATTGGAGATGATAATGCTACTGCTCAAAAGGTAGATATTTGCAGGGATGTTTAAGATCATCACAATGTATCCTGGTATGTTGGATTTCATGGTGCCAGGTATGTTTGGTGGTAAAGTAAATATTTCCCAAACACTGCTTTCATGGAAGTAATCAAGTTGCTTCCACTGTTCAGTGTGTAAAGTTTCAGTGTGGCCAAGAGCTTGAAGCCAAATGGGGGTTTGCCAGATGAAAATACAAGAAAAGTGATTAAGTGTGGTGATTGCTGTTACAGCAGTGAACACTTCACCACATCTGAGCTAGTTAAGTAAAGAAAGCTGAAACCCTCCTTATGACTCACCAAGACATGATATGTCTCAAGAAAATCTTTTTATTATAGTATTTTAGGTTAAAAACACATGACATATCTTGCTAAATTCCTCTTAGCTCCTGTTTAAATTGAAAAGGAAACCTGCAGAAGTTATTGTTTTAGCGTGCTTACTTCTTTATTCTGAGAATTCCTGTCTTGAGACCTTTTATGCAATCCTGGTCAAAACTCATGTATTACCTTAATGTACATTTCAATCCTATGCTTGTGTGTTTGTTATTTTAAACTGCTACAAGGAAGTTGCTTCCAGACAATTAATTGGTGAAATGACTGATAAAGTATTGCTCCTCTAAAATCCTATGCCTAATGTAGGTGGGGGGAAGCTCTCCAATGCCATTACCAAGCATTTTGAAATTCAGCCATTCCTCTACTTGTTCCAGAGACGCGCACTCTAGATAGAGAACAGTCTGGGGGACTCTCTCTAAAGAACAAAGGACAAATACAGTCAATACATTCCATAACGTTTACATTTCCTTTGCTTTTCCTCCTTGGTTTTCCCTGAGAAGTAGTGACCTGGGCAAAGCACCCTGCTCTCTAAAAGACACTGTATAGACCTTTTAGAAGCGCAAAGTCCAAGGCCGAGGTGAACTTCAGGTCAGCGCGTCTAACAAATATGAAAATGTCGGCTGGTGAAGGGCGCGCCTTGTGATTTAACAAAGACTGTCAATGTGTAAGATTAATAAGAAACAAAATGCACACGGTGTCACTGTTCGGTCACTTTGAAACTTGGGACAGGGTTGCATTCAAGAGGGAAGGCTGTTCCAAATATATTCAAAATGATTCAAATCAGATTCAAACCAGGCTGCAAAGCTGCCTCCCTCTCACCCTCCCTCTCTCCTTCAGACTCCCTTCGCTCTCCTTCTCCATCTGGGATGCGAGGACATGATGAAAAGTTATTTCACTTAATGGGATTTTAAGAAAGCTTTTGTTGGGAATATATGTTATCCCTGCACGTGGAAATGGGCAAATGTGCTTACGAGTTTCCCAAGGAAAAGGATAACGCTTTCACCCTGCTTGGGACTGGAGCCAGTTGGTGTGCGGAAATTAGCACACTCCCTCTCTGCTTGGTTTCAGGGCATCCTATCTTTTCTCGGGCGAGATGCTGCTGGTAAACTTCAGTTCATTTATTAATTGAGTTTCTTTCTGGCATTATTTTAGTGTCTTGGGTCTTATGTTAAGGCAAGAGGTGTTTTTAAAAATGTTTTTCAAAAGGTTATTTGATTCAATGGAATGATACTCTAGCTTGCAAAGGGAGATTGTGGAAGGATGAGAAAAGGTACTGAGATTGTTTATTACAGCCATAAATCTTGCAGTAAAATGTCAAAATGTCGGTGTGTAAGATAGCACTTGGTGGTCCTGGCTCCGTTTGTGTTTATGATAGGAACCACAAAGACAAGTTACAGGCCTTGGGGGATTCTGTGTAAGCCCATCTTCCTAAAGTAATAGAACCACATGAAACACAGGCGCAGTTAACTCATTTAAGATAGCCATATACAAAACAGGGCCAGTGACTTGTTAATACTTAAAAATAGAAACTCTGTAGAAGGTTCTGAGGTCAAATAACAATGAATTTTGGATTTTAGTGTCCGTAAATAATATTAAACAGACATGGTTAAGCCCTAGTACTCAAGGCTGATGACACACGCGGAGGGCAAGATTTCCTTGTCATGATTCTTTTCTCCCCGATGTTTAGCGAGCCCAGATATGTAATATATACCATAATAGTATATATAATATAGCTACACATTATTTACACTATATGTGCATTATTTATTCTTGCTGTGGAGAGATGCTAGTTTAGGCAGCTGTATCATAGGCTAGATTTCCACCCCACCCCCACCCCCCACCCCACCCCCGGAGTCCAGAGAGGCTGTCTAAAGACTATACTCAGCATTGATTTGTCTGCAGCTCGGATTTCATTAAAAACAAAAACAAAAATTTCAAGAGTGTCTCACATCAATGGATAGCACTCACACACAATGTGTAAAACCTCTTTGTACCACTTCGTGGTGATTCCAGTGAGAAAGCTAACATGATCCCCTTTTTAACCTCTTTTCCTAGTTTAAAGATTAGTCCCATATAATAGGCTTTATGTGCCTAAGCATTAAACGACTATCCATCAAATGGATATATTCCAGCATTTAGTAACTCATAGGAGTAACTGATATAAATGAAGATAGGACTGACATTCCTTTTGAAGTGTCTCCAGGCTTAGGCTCTAACTTTCCTTGCCTGTGTTCCAGATTCAGTCCTGAGAAGTCTGTTTATTACTGCTCTTTAAAAAAAAATCAAAGAAGGTGTACCAGCTGAAAAATCCTTGTTTTGCAGGCCAATATGAAAGTATTTTTAGAATGGTGACTATGCTAGTTTGCACTGCTTTAATCTAGACTGAAAACTAGAGGACCTGGATATGTCTGTGACTCAAAAAAAGAAAGGAAAAGTACACAGCAAGAATAAGGCATCAGTATTTACTTCAAAGATCAACATTAGGTGGAATTAATAAGTAATTTATTTGTTAATAATGGCGTAATTAGTTTACCCATCAAATTTCAATTATCAAATGGCAGGCAACAGTCCCTTCTCTCCTCTTTTCTGAGCTACTGATATCGTTAATATGCTAATTTTCAACAATTCAGAAATTATAGACTGTCCGGTAAATATAACTCTAGCCTGAGAACACAGCATCCAAGAGAAAACAAAATTACTAGCTTGAAAAGACCTACTAGCCACCAGGCTGAAACTGTTTCTTTCCTGAGCCTGTTTTGGGGATTGTTCTGAAACTGGAAATTGTTGATTTTGATGCTGTTTTGTGGAGCTGGGGCTTCCATCCATTGCAGCCCTTAGGCCACTCTGAGTGGCACTCACAAACGCTCGGACATCTTTATTTCTAACATTGACAACTCCATCAAATGAGATGTTATTAATAAGGTTCAAATTTTTAAAAACTGAAATGGCCTTGCTTTACATGATATGGACAATTTGTCTTAGCTGCGCACCCACCCAGCGGTTGGGGCTCCTGCCGGGTTCTTAACGCAAGAACTCTCAGAAGCTCGGAGCAGGATGTGGGGAAGGGGATCTGCGGGCTAGAAGAACCTGTCCGTCGGTCTCATTCGTTTTATTCCGGGCCCAGGATAAAAATCAAGATGTCCCCTAGGTCTGGGCGCTTTTCCTCCCCCATCCGACCTCGAACCTTGGTGGACGCCTACCATGAAAGCATTGGGCCCGAGGTCAGTGTTGGGCCACACCGTGAGGCAGCCCCGAGGCCTAGGTCAGGGTCAGGACAGGCATAGGGCCAATCCAGGCCATCCAATAAGACCGGCAGCCGGGCGGACCTCGAATTCCTACCGGTACTTAAAGGTGGGGGGCTAGGATACCAAAACGCCTGCTCCCTCCCACTGCCCCTAGGCAGGACAGCAGCATCTATCACCCGCCCGCGCGCTTCCTGATCCGGGTCCGCGCGCGCGGTGCGCTCATTGGCTGGGGTGGGCCACGTGGGATGCGGCGCGGGGCGCGCGCGGGGCCGTGTTTGAGGCGCGCGCACGTGTGCGCGCGTGCGGGCGGGGGAAGAACAGCGAGAACTTTGGTGGCGGCAGTCTCGGCGGCCCGAGGGGGAGGGGCGGGCGCTTGACAGCAGGGGGAGGGGAAGGGCGCAGAGGAAAGGGGGATGGGAAGCGAGGCAGGAGGGGGAGGGGCCTCTGAGAGCCCAGAAAAACGACAACGCGAGAAAAATTAGTATTTTTGCACTTCACAAATTAATGACCATGAGCTCCTTTTTGATAAACTCCAACTACATCGAGCCCAAGTTCCCTCCTTTCGAGGAGTACGCCCAGCCCAGCGGCCCGGGCGGCGGAGACGGCGGCCCGGGTGGGGGCCCCGGTTACCAGCAGCCCCCGGCGCCCGCGGCCCAGCACCTGCCGCCACAAGCCCAGCTCCCCCATGCGGGCGGCGGCCGCGAGCCCCCTACCTCCTATTACGGGCTGCGGGCCGCCCGCGAGCCCGCCTACTCGGCGGCGGCGCTCTACCCCGCACACGGGGCGGCCAACGCAGCCTACCCCTATAACTACCGCGGCGGCGCCAGCCCTGGGCGGCCACCGCAGCCCGAGCAGCCCGCGGCACAAGCCAAGGGCCCGGGGCATAGCCTGCATGCCAGCCACGTCTTAGCGCCCGGGCGCCAGCCCCAGCCGCCGCCCCCGCACCCTCGCACCGCGCCCTCGGTGCCCCCGCGCCGCTGCGAGGCAGCCCCAGCCACCCCGGGAGTCCCGGCAGGGGGCAGCGCTCCCTCGTGCCCGCTGCTCCTGGCGGACAAGAGCCCGCCAGGCCTGAAGGGCAAGGAGCCCGTGGTGTACCCCTGGATGAAGAAGATCCATGTCAGCGCGGGTACGTGCTGGTGCCGCCAGGGAGGTGTGGGAGGGTGGGCCTGGCAGGGCTTAGGGCTCGGGGTGGGAGTCAGGAAGGAAGGGGGGCTCGGGACGGGAGCCCCCATCTGGCTTGGGCTGCTGTGGAGTGTCAGTGTGTGCACTCCAGCCGCCAGATCCAACGTGAGAACCCTTTTGTACCCGGGGTCCCTTTATCGGGAGATTTACGAGACGCCAAACTGTTAGGGCAGTAATTATAGCCCCCATAAATTTAATTGCCCTGGCAGAGGCTTCGGGCCATGTGTCTTTGAAGCTTTTCTTCAGCCCCAATGCCCAGCACCATTCTTTATGGCTCTCGGGTGTTTCCCGTTGTCAATAGCCTGTGAAACATTTTCTTTGCCGTTTTATGTATCTTGCGTGAACTTGGTGTCAGATTATTATATAATGATGATGTCCAATTGCTCTTCCCCACCCCACCTTCTCTCTCCTCCTCTTTTACCTCTCTCCTCTTCCAATCCCTCTTCCCTGGCTTCTCCTCCTGGGGTTCTGGGCGTCCAGTCAACCCCAGCTATAATGGAGGGGAGCCCAAGCGCTCTCGAACAGCCTACACCCGGCAGCAGGTCTTGGAGCTGGAGAAGGAGTTCCACTTTAATCGCTACCTGACCCGGCGGCGCCGCATCGAAATCGCCCACACGCTCTGCTTGTCCGAGCGCCAGGTCAAGATCTGGTTTCAAAATCGGAGGATGAAGTGGAAGAAAGATCACAAACTGCCCAACACAAAGATGCGTTCCTCCAACTCAGCTTCAGCCTCAGCTGGTCCCCCAGGGAAAGCACAAACTCAGAGTCCCCACGCCCATTCCCACCCAGGCGCCTCCACACCCATTCCTTCATCCTCCATATAATCACCTAAAGATCTAGACAACTTTCTTTCTCTCTACCTGCTTTTCTCCTCTTTTCTCCTGTCACTTTCCCCTTCCACCCTGCCTTGTCTGGATCATAACAGACACCAAAACAAAACCCAGTTTGGTGAAAAGGATAACAAAAGAGAAGACATTATCCCGGTAAGAGTATGTGCTAATTGCCATTCAAGTGAGGACACTTGGCCTAGATGCTGGCTAGTGGAAATAACGTGCAACCTGCTGGCCTGAACAGGCTGCCAGGTTTGGGTACCTAAGAAAGACTGCTTGGCATTAAACACTCTAGAAATGACTGAAGTTAGTTGACAGCCCATGCTGACTGGGAACAACAACAACAAAAAACCCCCAGACCTTTTCCCCACTTCACTTACTTCCCTCTCCCCCATTAAGGCAGCTCATACAAGCTTGTATGGAACTGAGTAATTGAGCAGACATCATTGTGGACCTCACAAGATTATTTAATTCTCAAAATGTATAGATTTTATGGTAGGTGTGACTCATTAGTTTCCTTTCCTTGCATTTATTTAAAATATTGTTAGAGAGCTATTGTTGTCTTATCCTAGGGCAAAATCTCGGGGATAAGGGGAGTGCATTTAGACCTATGTGCAACTGTACAAATTGTGATGTGGTTGTATAGAAAGCCATGTGCTAAAAATAAACTCTGTTTAACAAAGCATTAAAAGTCTAAAACACAGATCTGTGTGTTTCCTAAGCTTCTCATTAAAACAAAACAAAACAAGCGCTCTCAGGATTGAGATGGTTGACCTTGCATGTAAAAATGTAAAAACTTTGTAAATGGCCTGAGTTGTATTCACTTGGATTCTGACTGCTAATATAATTTCTGTGTGTATGTGTTTGTGTGTGTGTCTTCAATTTGAGCTGAACTCTTGTCAAGCTTGACCCATTATGGGAAAAGTTCCAAAGAGCAGGAGTGCTGAGAGGGCGCCTCTTCTCCCCAAACTTGGCCAGGTTTTCAGGCTTCAAGTCTCTGTAAGGCATAGAAACGTGTCTCTCCCCCCCATCCCGCCCTCAATGAAAGGTGAAACCGCACAATGCTGCGGGCTCAGGAGTTTCTGCAGCTGTTATGCACACTGAACTCTGAGCACACTTGGAAAGAAGTGGTCCCTTTGGTATTTATTGCACCTTCATACTTAATCTGCCTGCTTCCCTAGGGATAAATAAGAGCTTGTGCAAAGGGTTGAAATTGTTTTTTGTCTCTTGACTATTTTAAAGGTTCTTTTCACTAACAACAGCTTGGAGATTTTTGTCTGTTTGCTTGTTTGTTTCTCTCAGCTTTTTTTCTTTTTTAAAGAAAGAACTTATAAAACAAAGTGAATATTCCCAGTACACCCTCTGAAGTTTCCTCCAAGGGGGGGGAGGAACATAGTGACAATCCAAAGTGTACCCCAATAAACCTGGAAGGGTTCACTGCTGGAAAAATGCCAAACTCCCTGAACTAGAGTCACTTCCATCAAATGTCTGGGACGTTTCTACTCAGTTCTCGAGATCTAGATTCAAAAAGTAAAAAATAATTAAAACCCATGACTCAGATCTCCGAGACTTTAATATTTATTTGCTAATTTAAACCTAGGGCTCAGAGAAGGGAGTTCCTTGCAAGAGGATAGAAAACGAAAGCACACTACTAACCTCAGACAGAATACTGGTCCCATCACCTGGTCTTGAACAGAGTGCAACTTTTAGTCCACATAATTTAGCAGAAATGGTGGGAAAATGCTCACCTACTTTTGCAATATCAGAGGAATTTAACACATTTTCTCAGTGACACAACACTTGGCTAGTGCTCAGTGCTGGTATCCTTCTGCTGCCTGTGATAGCAGACAAGGGTGATCAACTGTATCTCTGAATAAACGAAATCTGAGAGGAAAGTGACTGGCACCAGTATCTTCCGGATCTCCATCCCTCCCTGAGAAAAGTTAGGGGTAAACAAATACACACACACTCAGACACATCCCTTCCCAAGTCTGGTCAAACCTGGCATAAAGTGTGTTTTATAAGGTGTGAACGGGTGCCGGGGATTTCTGGAGGTACTGCTGCAGACACTTTTTAACCCTCCCTCTATTCCACGCACTTGTAAAACGAAATTAAATCACGCTGAAAATAGCAATTTCCCCAGGAATCATTAATCACCTCATACAATAAATACTTCTTTGTAATTCAACAGCAATTCTGAAAGGCATTCTCTGGGAAAAGTCTGTGGAGGAGTGAGGGATCTTCTTGCAAATAATGTGATCTCAGGCAAAGATGCAGCATCTTGGCTGTCTGCTCAAAACATGCCTAGATTCTCATTCTCGGTGGAAAGTGAGTGTCGAACTGCAAAACCTCAAATGGCAGATGCTCATCATTTCAGGTAAACATTTATATTTTTCCTTTGTGGAGAAGAGATGGTGTAGGGGCATTCATTAGCTTCATGCTGGGGACAGTTGTTGGGGGTGAAGGGGCAGCTTTCTTTCACTTGCCCATATTCTACCCAGGAAAGGGAGAGAAAATTGAGATAGATGTTCTAATATTCTAGGACAAAATGGTGTTTTTGCCCAGGTTGTCTTGATTATTAAGATATTGATGAATTTTGTAAAACTAAAGTTGCCCCAGATGATACAAATAATTATGGCATGTTTTCAGTGTTTTGCCTGTTTCAGACTTAAGCCTTTAAGAAAACTTGTTGTAACAGCTTAGAAAATCTCACTTTGTGCTTCCAAATCGTGCATGTCTGCCCTTTGCTAGGGCAACCATTAGAGTTCACCGAGAGGACAAATTTTCTATCTCATTAATTTTTTTTTTTTTTTAAGCAAACCCTACTGGCCCCTCAAACCCTTGACCTTTAAAGACAGTATTTTGTGTGAGCTCTATAATTCTCTCACCAAAATGACCCTTATACATGCTCTCCTCTTCTTTCTCTTCCTTCCTTTCTCTTTCTCCCTCCCTCAAACACACCCACACCCACACCCACACACACACACACATACACACACACACTCCTCTGCTTTAGTCACAACGCCCAGCTGTGCAGGACTCTGGAGATAAAAGTTTTTGTCAACATCTGAAATCAACCTAAATCGGATAAGAGACACTTTAATGGTCACAGTTTGAATTAAGTACTTAACACTCTCCCCCTGGAAGAAAAATGGCACTTTGCAGGCTCTCTTCCTGAGTTTTGCTGAAATGTACGATATGCCTGATGTTTTATTACAGTGGGAATTCAACTGTGACAGGCATAGTAGAGTACTTAATACCCAGGATGGAGCTCATGGGAAGATTACCTAGAAATGGGGGGGGTGGTGGTGGCGGGAGGGTTGAGCTCTCTCAGAGCATCTCCGACTTTGTACTCAGCTGTCCCAAGATGCTCTCATTCCCTCCACCCTATCAACATCCTCTTCAAATGGTGACCACCACCATCTCCACTCAGTCCTGCTGCTCTTCTAAGTCAAACTCTTCTCTTCTCACCTCCACCTTTCCTCCAGCAGTTTTAACACAGAAACAGATCGGTGACTTTTTAGAATGGAGTTGCAGGAAACCCCTGGAAAATCAATGTAGCTTACAGAAATCTGAAGCTTCCTGTCTAAATGGGTGGATTCTGTGCAGGCTATAGGTCCTCTATTGATTCCCTTGGACTCTATCCCTAGCAGGGGTCCTGCATTGGAGAACATAGGTTCACCCTTCCCAACTGCTGCTCCTGTTGCCACTGCTCTGTGTTATGTACTGGTCCAAGAATAACTCCGCTTCTTCTCTCCAAGAGTCTAGGTTGGGAACAATAGGAAGAGGAAGAAATGTGTGTTCTGTCTCTTTGACAGCACTGCGGAAGGCTGCTGGAGTTGCTCTGAGACCTCCTAGTCTAGAACATCTGGCTTGGAACTTTAGCATCTATTTTTCTCAAGGCCCCACCCCTGAGGCCAGCCCCACTCTCACTGGGGGTGATTCTTGGCACTAAAAGAAATTCCTAAATTAAAAAGACTGTCCCAGAGGTGAACGAGACGGTGGCCATTTTGATTTAGTCTTTTCAGTTTGCAGATTAAGTAACTAAAGCAGAAGAAGGCTCCCTCGCCATGCTCTTTATGTTAATGAATGTGAAGGTTGAATAGAGTTCTTGGTCTCACCTTGGATGGTGGTAGATGCATGGGTATCTTTACTCTTCCAGAATCCTATTCTGCCCCAAACAGATGTCTGTGTCAAGGTTTACACTTGGTGTATAGCACCACAGGTGTGTGATGGTCCGGAAAGAAGCGTGGGTTCCTGCCTGATCTGCCATCAAAGTGGCATGGGGGATTATGTAACCAAGCTGCCCTAGCCAGGTCACTCAGACAAGTTTGACCTCCTCAGGCCTCAGGGTGCCTGGGAGAGCAGTGGGCTTTGCACTGTCCAAAATGCTCATAGGTCCAATTGACTAACTGTATACTAGACCAACGCTAGTTTTAGTAGTTTACCCAGGACCCCTGCACAAGGGAACCCATGCTCTGAAGGCCTGGGGAACTAAAAACAGGGAGAGAGAGAAAAAGGGACCCTGAGTGTGGTAGATTAAGGTGTAGAGCCTGTTTGAGGGAGATATTGAAATTGTAATCTTTGGGGTCACGTGACTCATTAAATAATTAATGCGGATCGTCAGGAATGGATTGGAGTCGTCAGGGCCTCACTAGGAATGAATCTCTCAAGAAGTGAGACCCCCAACTTCCTATTTGATTTTCAAAAACACATACTCTCAGATTTATCTCCAAAGTCTTTTAACTCCTTCAGGAAAGCAGGAGTCAGCCCTTCGCGGGGAGGAGGGAGCTGGCGGGCCCTCCCTGGTTCTCAGGACTTTTTATGAGGGGGGGTTTCTGTGAGTCCAGGGAAGCGTGCCACGTCCTGGGAAACGTGAGTTCTGGCTTGGATTTTCTGCGGTCACATCCTGGCTTTGGTGATGAAGTGGGACGGATGCGCAGACAGTTGGTAATGTTCTGATTCACACTGGGAAACGCTGCAGAGATACCACAGGACGGGCGCGCGGCTTTGTTCAATTTTCTCGGCGTTCATAAATCACTGGAGCCGGGCGAGCAAGGGAGCAGGCGAGCGCCAAAAACAACGCGAGAGGCCACAGCGGCAGCGGCAGAGGCGGCCATTGCAGAGGGAAGACCTGGGCAGCATCGCTCTGTGACTCATTAGTCTGAAGGATTTATGGAGAACAGCAGCCATGAATATTAGACTTGGGGATAAGGAATCAGCAACAACAATAATAGCTATAATAATTACAATGCTCCTAAGTGTTGGGGGGGGGGGTGGATGGTGGCAAAGAGGATCTTTCTGGGGCTAAGTGGAGTTGCAAAGTGCAGCTTGGCCAAGCCCAATCTCGCTCAGGGCACCCCTTTGGGGACATAGAGCAAGTTTGAACAAGAGAAAGGGGCCCAGCGTGGATTCCTAGAAAAGGGTGCAGGTCAAGGTGGTGGCGGAAGGGCATTTGCTGGTTTGCTGCTACTTGTTTAGCATGCTGGAGGGATGGGGTCCTGGAACCAGGTCAGGGGACTTGTCACCTATTTGGTAGACTTACTTAGTGCTACTAGTTAGGTAGTCTGTCAGGACATGGGCCGGCAAGTGGAGGACTGGCTTTTTAGCAGGCTGGAGTGGGGAAAAGTTGCCCTGTTTGAGTGAAGAGATGGGAGGTGGGGTAGGGGTAGGGCGATGGAAGCAAACCTCCCGCCCCATAGAGTCCCAGCCTGGAGAATTTTTCCAACAGGAAGACCCTTCACACTTCCTTCTCCAGTGTTTCCTTCCCCCAGAAAGTTGGCTGACTGCTCAATGAGCATTTATTGGTTAGAGGGCAGGAGATAGTTGCAACAGAACAGGGCATCAGCCAGCTCTTGGTGCTGCGTGAGGCTAGGCAGGATGGGGCTCCCTGAATGGGTGTTATCTGGCTACCGGCTCCCTTCTTAGTTTCCAGCAGCCGTAGTTGGCCTCCTCGGAGGGAACTGAGCGCTGCAGTAATCCTGCCAGCCTACTGGGACCAAGAAATGTCTCCTCCAGAACTTAATTAACCAGAAGACAAAACCTTCCAAGACTGTCCCTGGCCCGGGTTTGATTTCGTGTCAACTGAAATGAACACTATTAGGTTTTAGGAGAGCCCGGTGATTGAATGTTCCCAGACAAGGCTTCCCTTTGTTAGCAAAAGAAAATAAAGCGTGCATTCACATTCCCCAAGTTGGGGTGCGTGGGGAGCTCTCCGGAGCTGGCAGTGCAGCAAGCCTCTTCTACCTCTTCATCGCCCTCCGCCTCGCATATTTTCCTCCCCCTTCCCTCTCCTAACCCACCCACCCCAAAAAAGAAAGAAAAAAGGAGAGTGTGGGTGCGGAGATGGAGTATGTATTTATTTTACAAAAATAAATCACCATCTTCAGGCCATTTGTAGACTGGAACCTTTCGAGCAATAAGTGCGCCGCATGGACGAGTGCCCTGGCGACTCCTCCGTGTCCGCGTCACCCCGGGGGCCACCCCGGCGCGCCCGCACGGTCTGCGCGTTCAACTCTGGTTTTCCAACTCCCTTCCTTTGCAGCCACCGTTCACCCTCTACTGTTTATTTGTCCGCAGAGCGCCTGGACACCGGAAAAGGCGAATCACTGAATATCTGCAGTTGGAAACAATTCCTGGTTCTGATTTAGACGTCTTTCGAGGTAAGCCGCTGAGTCAAAATTCTTAGCTGTGTTGCTGAGCTTTGCATCAGACTATTGTGTGGAGTTTGTCTTCCAGAGTTCCAGTAACTGCCACCAATTAAAAGGGGTTCTGGTCAGTATTTAACTTCAGAGGAGTTGTAGGACTGGGCTGCCTTCAGCTGCATGCCCCGGCAATGTGGTGCTTCAGGCAGACAAAGGGTTTGTCTCAAAGCCGGTGGTGTGCAGGGATGGTGTGCAGGAGGAGCATTTGCAAAGACCAAAGATTTGGGGGGAAAGACCGAGGGGGTGTATTTGTTCTTCCTGCAAGTCCCCAACAAACCACTACTGGGAGCAAGCAGGGCAATAACAAGTTGAGGCCACGGGCGCGGGCGCAGCGGACGCTGCGTGGGCCGCTCTCCTGGTTGACAGCCGCGGCTGCGGCTGCGGCTGCGTAGGCAGTGTGTTCGGAAATGGAAATGGTCTTCAGTTCCACTTAGTAGGAGAAACTTGTCTTGGTATCTTGCAGTTTCACAGATTCTTTTTGCTTTTGCTTGTGAAGAGGGAGAGTTCTGTGTTTTCGGTATTCAGGCCTTTGCAGCCAGCAGGTTTTGGCTCATTCACTGGGGCTGATCAGCGATTTTTCTTATATGAAACGTACGCTTTTCTGCTTTTCAACATTTTCTTTTCCTATTTGGAAGAAGGGAAAACTTTAAACTTCTTTTCAAGTTCTGGCTTAATTTGTTCTCTTAGTTTAGGTTGCAGGGAGGTAATTACTGTGGTTTATTACCTTGTAAAAGATCCATAAATTACTGCCTATTTGGGGGAGGGGGCTGCAGGAGTAGCTTTCAAAAGCTTGGTAAAGAGTATATGAAGGAATGGACTTGCTTTGTTCTTTCAGGAATTACTTCTTTTAAAAAAAGTTTTCCGCCAAGATTTTGTTTGCTATTCCCTAGGTTCAGTGTTTCCTTAAATCAGTTCCCCAAATAGATTCAGAATGTTAATAATTGCAACATGCTATTCCATGCCCTCTAAGGCTGATATGGTGTTCTGGATACAATTAAAAAAAAAAATAAGATATGAAGTAAACAGCGTAATAGGAAAGCTGAGTTACTTTCTCTGCTACTATCTGTTTGTATCAAGTATAGATGGAGAATTTAAGAATTTGCAACTCTATGTGCATATTTGATTTGCATCTCTGCAAATAACAGAATTGCTGCATGTATACGTAGCTATAGGAGTTTGGAGTCATATGTATAAAATGATATACAGATCCACATGCATACAGAGAACTTGGTTGTACTGCAGTTGCATCCACGGGAAATAGCTCATATACTTACTTATGCATACACAGTCTCTCACACACAAAAGTGGGATAAGATACTGAGTAGAAAAAGCTTTAAAGTTAACTAAAGGGAAGAAAATGTTAAGTGTATTTTTGATACAGAAATCAGATTGCAGTGTTTGAATACAGATACATCTAATCTGCCAACAACTTTGCAAATATTGACCAAAGGTCTGTATCCTTAGTCGCCTGTTCCTTCTAAACCAACTTTCCTGTGTTATGGTTCTGGTGGCCTCAATTCACTGTACTGAACCCTAACTGGGGATTGGGGAGTGAGTGGAGGGGGCCTGGATGCTGAATTTGCCAACCTGGTGGAACAGACACTAAAGCTTCTCAATTCTTATTCTCTGCATCAGGACATCCAGCCTTTCTCTAGGAAAGTGGATTTACGGAAAGGTTGAAGGAGGAGGACTCTCAGCTGCTGGTTCTCAGTGGCTGGACAAAGCAGGCTGGGGAACCATTGCCTTGCCCACCCCAAGCCTACCCCTAGGAGAGAAGTAGAAATTTCCTTTGACTTCTCCAGATTTTCCCTTTTCAGCCCACCTAAAAACCCCATCTTACCCCAAGTCCGTTAATTGTTAAACAGCAGTTGGAACATTAACCCGGCTGTTAGTAGAGGCCAGGCAGTTGCAGGCTGGAGCAGAGATGCCGCTGGGCCTTGCTGGCGTTAAGGCATTTCTCTGAAACAGTACCAGTGTCTTCCATTGATTTATGGCCTCAGGAGTTTTGGTTTGCTCCAGACTGTTCTGAGAGTTCTGAAGGCGGCCCCTCTCATCTATGGGTTGAAATCTTTGTAGGAACTTTTGTTGGGAGGCAGCTTGCCAGCACTCAGCAATAGTTCCAGGCCCTCTCCTTGAATGTTTGAGGAGGTCAGTGTGCCTGATTTGGGAAGGAGGGTCCAGAGGATAGTGAGGGTGAGTGGGCTTGGGTATAGGAGAGTGCTTTTTCAGAAATCTGTCTTTGGTCCACCCCCACCCTGCCCCCTAATTTGGAAGGCAGGCTTTCACTTTGTGTTCTTACTTCCTAGCTTGAGGCTGGCCAGAGTGGGGGGCCTCTGACTTTAGGTCAAAGCTGGGAAAGTTCACGAAGAGGTCCTTTTCTAGCTAGGCCACAAACAGAACCGTATTGGAATACTGCCACCAGCTTAGACCAGGGCTCATTTCCAAGTGGGGAGGTCTCCTCCTCTTTGATTGCTCTTCTGATTTGGACACCTCCATGACCAGGCCCCCTTTCTGAGGGGCTTACATTCTACTCAGGCCCCTTCTGTTCCCCTGCAGGGGAGGAGGGGAGGGAAGGATTCGTGCACAGCCTCCTGCAGCTGCTACAAGTGAGTCTTCACACTTAGCGAGACAGAGCCAGCTAAAGACCCACACGCTTGAGAAACAAAAGAACATACCATGAGGATCTTCTGAGCCTCAGCACTACCAAAGTTCAGAAACAAAGGCCTAAAAAGAGGAACTTTTCCAGCTGCTTGAGAGAGGGTGAAATGTTGAAATCAGAGGGCAACGTCAAAATCAGAGGGCAATGTCACCAAGCATAAGACAGGAATGGGGTGGAACCTGGGGTGTGCTTGTGGGTGTGTGCATGTTTATTTGTTTCAATCAGGTGCGTCTTCAGTGGGGTTGGTCCAGTTCAGCTTGTGCTTTTGAACATAGGGGTGTCTTAAGGAAGGACAGACAGATCACCTGCAGAGAGGGTCCTAGGTTGCCTTGTAGGTTAACTCAATCAGTGAAGGTTGATTTTCTTCCCCTCTTGCAGAGACAATTAGATCATTTCCCCTTACATTTTTCATCATTAGAAACCTATAATTTCACGTATCACTCAGCTATGAACTGAGGAAATGCGTAAGCACAGGTTTGGCCAGAGCACCAGGTCCCTTTAGAGTTTGCAAAATCCTGACCACTCAGGAGCCAAGCACACTCTTCCCGTGGGCTCCCATCCACCAAATGCAACTGGATTTGAGGGAGGCTCATTCACCTTTTGTGAGGTAATTATTTATTATTGGCCTTTTTGGTTTTCCAGTGGCTGTAGTGTGTGGTGTGGGTGTCAGCAAACTCCAGACAATGGCAGGCTGTGAGGGAGGCTACTGGATTGTTTTCTTTTTTCTTGTAAATGAAGATAGGGCCTGGTCCTTGCCTTTTGATGCTCTGGCCAGTGGGCCAGAGGGAATTGGGGTGCTTGGGTGAGCTGGGTTCAGCCTATTCACAAGCAGGAGGCTATAAAGAAAGTTAGTGAACTCTGAGTATACAGACAGCACTGCTGTTCCCTGATGATTGGAGTATGTGCAAAGAAATATAAGCAGAAATAAGCAGCCTGGTGAGGTGGGGGAGGGTAGTAACAAGCCCCCATCTTTCCACTACCTGAGACAAAAACTCTTCTAGTCAAGGTACCCCCCTCCCCTCCCCAAAGCAAAATGTTATGCTTGGAAATCTAGTTCCTTCAGTGATTCCCATTTCCAAATAAAAGGATTTAAGTTGACGTATGACCACGTGAGCACATAATACAGCGCATTATTGTGGCATTTGGAGCGGAGACCCAGGCGGCAGGCTTCGCTGGTGATTACGTTTTTTCTAGATTCTGTGCTTTTTCTCCCCCACCCCCATATACCCACCTCCTCCTTCCCTTCCCCTCCTCTGGAGAGTGCTTTCCAAGCAGCATGCAGTGCGCGGTGCTCATGGAGCCGTTCTGGGCTAGCTAGCTGATGGGACCAGAGACCACACCAGGAGGATGGGATTTATTTTAAGGTATTTCCGCTGATTGTTCATATCTAGAATGAGTTATGGCTGTGAGAGACAAAGGTCAGGCGAGGAGACCCAGTCTCCAGGACAGGACCCTTAACCACGTTCTTCCTTTGTTTCTCATTTGAAACCATTTGAGGTATCTCTAGACTCTCCATTTAATTCTCTGGAAAGTGTTGGGAGGCATAAAGGAGAGGCGTTTGGGGACTACTAAGTAGGCTGGAGGCCTCCAATGTGCCAGTGGCTTTGTCTACTCCGTGGAGTAGGGCTTAAGTCCCAGGAACTGAGCCCCAGTTGGAGGAAGGGTCCTGAAGCTTTAAGCTTTACCAAGGACTGAGGTGGCCTGAGTTGTGGTCTTCAGGCAATCAAAGTCGCTTTGAGAAGTAGGGGCTGGATGGGTGACAAGGGGGAATCTTTCTCCGGTTGGGGTTGGTTGGTGGTATTTGCCAGTTAGGAATGGAAGGTGATGACTGACCTGGGCCACCGGAGGAGCTGGGAGAGGGAAATCAATGAGTGTGCAGATGCGCTGCCATTTTATTGATGATTCTTGGGGCCACTTGGTTCAGTGTTATGTTGCAGGGCTTCACTACCCTACCCTCTGAATGAGGGATGACGGGATCCGGGATCCGTATGCAGAGGGTTGGCCATTGTTCCCTGGAAGCTTGAGCAGGCTCTGCCCGGGGAAGGGTGGAGAAGGGCAGTTTAGGTCTTTGAGAGGTTTGGGGTGGGAGTATGTGTTTGGACACCCAGAAGCTCCACTTGGTTATTCTAACCTTCCGGGAGACAGAGGAACAAGCAAGTGAGGGCTAGGTTTGGGGATATCAGGCCTCATCTGCACTGGGCCTGGCCTGGGTGCCTTCCTCAAGCCCCCAGTCGCCTTGAAGAGTTCAGGACTAGCCAACGTGCCCTGGGCTGGAGCGAAGTCCAGAGGTAAAGGAAGC